AATTATGTACTATTCATATCAGTTAGGAATTGTACTTATTTTCACTTAGTATTAAATCATACTGTCAAATATATTGTGAATATTTGAGTTTACCTGAAAAAAACTGAATAGAAAACCACAAACTCACCTAACCGTCTTAGTTTTTGAAGATAATTTATTGCTTCTTAATTACAATTAGTACTTAACTTATAGCTATATTGATATTACAGTTTTATAAAACTAATAAAACAAAACTAAAATATTTCAATAAATTGTAAAGTAACTCGGGATGTTTTAAAATTTTGTATAAAATCTATATTGTTTAATAAACCTGAAAAAGAAATTCCTAATATTTAAAACTTGTGTATTGCAAATTGAAGTTGAAAATTTCATCCTAACATTCTGAGTGTCTTTACAGAAAACGAGGAGAATTAAATCGGGGGAGGAGGTTGGGTAAATGTAACAGCCCCATAAGTGTAATTATGCACTGTTTATGACAGTAAGAAAATGTACTTATTACACTTAGCATTAAATCGTACTGTCATTTCGGAGGATGGGTTGCAGCGGTAGAGCTCTTAAGTTTTAAATCTTACTAGATAGGGTACCCAGCTGTGCCCGGGTCTCTCTTTCGCTCCATTTCTCTTCCTAAACGTTAGAAACGCTACGGAAATCACATTCCCGATTTCAGACATTATTAAAATTTCAGTTCAAGTTCAAGTATGTTTATTGAGACAAGAAAAAAAATACATCTCAAAGGGAAAGAGTAGCTTAGGCTATTTCTACCCCCCTCTACTTCAAGTCCCTCAAAAGGCGCACAAATTCAGTGAGTACAAATGCACAAATCACAATACAGTATAAGAATCCCATTTAACATGGCAGGTTAATATAGTAAGCACAGCATATAAGTGTTACACTTTTGGGGCAAAATGCTCGTAGCTCGTAAGTATCTTGTCATACCATTATCACACATCCAAACAATTTGATATGGTACACTACTTATTTCCTTATTTCTGTAGTTATCAATAAATTGACACTCTAATACATAATGTTCTAAGGTGTGGGCGTGCGGCATACTACATAATTATCACTCCTTATCTTTTTTACTGACATCAACACCGTATTGCCAGATATATTTGTATCCTAATCTTAATTTTATGTAAATTGAATTCTTCCAAGTAGACTTTCCTCTACCATAAGTGATGGACGAATTTGTATTTATTATTGAATAATTCTTAAGTGTGTTACTACTGTCCACCATTGCCATTCTCTTTACCATTTCTTCACCCTCTTGGATCATCTTAATTCTTATTTTTATTTGCTTCAAGGTTATCTGACATACAACATCAACAAGAATTTTTTCCGTGGCTCTCTTCGCTATCTCATCAACTACTACATTCAACAGTATTCCCACATGTGAAGGGATCCACATGAATCTTACCTTATACCCATTTTTTTCTACTTTCTTAACATTCTCTCTACACTCAATCACAATATTCTGATAAACTGCACGTCTGCTATTTAAAGACTCTAACGCTCCTCTAGTGTCAATAAAGAAACAGGCATTTTTACCACATTTAACTACTTCCTGTAATATTTTACCTATTTTTGCGTTTGTTGTTTTATCAGCTGTATACGAATTTATTGGCGACATGTTTAAAGCGTAAGACGGTGTTAAGCACGGACGCAGATATAAAGTCTTCTGACAATGAACCCCAGTGGTTGAATTTCCGTTGTTTCCTTATCGTTAGAGGATGTGAGGCTACGCGTGACGGTGTTTACCTCCTGTCATCCGCTGGCCTCTCACCCCCGCTTGTGGTAGGCTCTACACTGTGGTAGGCTCTACACCCTGTGGTAGGCTCTACACCCTGAGGTAGGCTCTACACCCTGTGGTAGGCTCTACACTGTGGATAATTGATGATGGATTGATGATAATCTTGCATGAGTCATCCTCCCAGGGAGGTAACCTCTCTACAGGCAAGAGCTCACGGGCTTGCTCAAGCAGGTGAAGTTCTTCCAGGTAGCAAACTGATCTGTGATGCCATTTTTTGCTTCTCCTGTTTTCCCCTAAAAGTAGCACAGAACTCAGTTTTTTCTTAGCAATATCATTGTAATGGGGATCTCTGGTTCTCCTAATTTCAAGCTTAGCATTCAGCTCCTTAATTTTGCTTTTAACACTGGGAAGGGACAACTCCTCTCGTAGATTAGACGTTTTGGCAGTTCTTGGAACTCCAGGAATGATTGTCATGGCTTCATTTTGAATGCTTTCAAGCTTTTCATATCGCTTTGGGAGTAGGTGCACAGAACTGGCGTGGCATAGCCTATGACGGAGCGCACATAGGCTGTGTACATCATTTTAAGCACGGCAATAGAGACTCCATATACATTCCAGGTCATAGCTTTCAGTCGCCTGAGTCGACTTTTGCATGTTCCTATGAGTTGATTGAGCTCCTCTTTCTTCCCCTTGTTAGAGCCGACAGTGACGCCAAGGTACCGATAGTGGTCAACTCATTCAAGTGTTACACCATTAATTTGCAGTTCTTCATTTTCTCCCCGCTTGTGATGGGAGTATGCCTTCGTCTTGTTTATGGAGAGAGTGAAACTAAGCTCGATACATTTCTTTCCAAGGAGTTCAATGGACTGTTTAATTTTTCCTAAGGTGGGAGCTTGTATTTGGACATCATCTGCATATCCCACTTGTTGTGTTCCTTCCGGAAAATCAATATTTGCAATGGCGTTCATAAGTACATTGAAAGGGTTTGGGGTTTAAGACTCCGCCTTGGGGGGTCCCGAGTTCCATATTCATTGTTCAGGAGACTGCTCCATTGAAGCAGACCTCGGCTTTCCTTCCTGGGAGGTAGTTTTCAACCCATTTCATGAGTCTTCCCTTGACACCCATGCATGAAAGCTCGTCCAGGATCGCAATCCCATGCGCTTTGTCGAAGGCTCCTTTGATGTCGACAAATACAGAGTACCTAGCATCCGTGAACATCTTTAAGAGAGAACTAGATAATTTTCTCCAAGGAGTGCTGGACCAACCAGGATGTGGTGGATATGTGGCCCTGCGGGCCGCTGCAAGCAACAGCCTAGTGGACTAAACTCTCACAAGTCAAGCCTGGCCTCGGGCCGGGCTTGGGGAGTAGAAGAACTTCCAGAACCCCATCAACCAGGTATCAAGCGCTCACCAACGCCATCTATGTAAACAGAAGAAAGGATGCTTTCTTCAGCTTGTCATGTAGCGTCGGTATTTTACAAATCTAGGGAGCTACATAGTCTCCTCCAGCTTGGTGCTTTCTTTGATAATTACTTATTTTACAAATCTAATTATCGTTAAAGGCGACATCCCCAGATAATTGAGTTCACCTCTGTCAATCATCACACACAAAGACAAGACATATTAGTGTCTTTATATAATTTACATTGTATTCCTATAACTACTCCACTGTATTATGTTTCAAATGAATGCATTTTATGTAAATAAAAATTATTAATATGTTTCTGTTGATTATGTCTTTCAGAGATCTTTCTTCCGTCTTGTGAGCTGTTGAAAAGTTCCAGTATTAGACTTGTATAAACGGGACAGATTCTGTATAGTATAATTGATAATTCAGTGGTAGGCTATTGAAATTCCTTATGAATACCTCTTGCACATATCCATTCGAGTATCAGTTGTTATCAAGGACCTGCAATTCAATTTCTTTTTCTTTATTATACACCCCATACCCATCCCGTGGGCGGTGGTGTAAATGATTACAGAGGCACATAATCGGTTCAGGAACTGAACCCTCTAGTTCGTCTGCCTCACTCTACAGAGTTACCCGTCAACATGCTTCAAATTGAAACCGTGTGAAATAGGGTGTTTACAGGTGTTAACAATTCAGTTGTTTGTTCGTGTAATCACCTGTGTAAAAAGAATACTTTGTACTGGTCATGCCATTTACTAAATAACATTAAAACAAATTTCTTTGCTAGTTTCGGTAGTTACCTGTTAGTGTAGAGTGTAGACTGGACATGTGAAAGCCGGCATTACTTTCCAATTCTTTTTTTGTATCCAAAAATGGCCGCTTGTCACATTATTAAAATTAAGCATATAGTTTTGCTCGAAAACTTCATTGACCATTATATAGTATTTTCTATCATACATACAAAAAATATATCACCAATGTACCTGCAGTAGATTTTAAAGTCCATGTTAATGAAGACCCTCTCTTCAATGCACAAATTCACAAATAACACATCTGGGGAAGGGGATTGACAGATGTACAGTGGGAGCATAACAACACAAACTTGTGCTCCCTTCTCTACACTGCAAATATACAACCTCACACAGATATCCTCGTAATCTCACTCAGATCCTACTGTCTTTTTCAGAAGTGGGACGTCGATAAGATCAAAGGATGAGGCTTCGAGGGACATTGTTGTGGGTGGTGGTGGTGGGCGTTGTGTGGGTGGTGGTGGGCGTGGTGACGGCCCAGCAGCAGCAGCAGCAGCAGCAGGAGGTAGAGAAGTGCCACGCTCAGAGGAAATGTGTTGATTGTATCCAGACACCTGACTGTATGTGGTGCTCTAAGCTTAAGGTAAGTGGTGCCATGATCACATGAATTAATTATACCGTGCGTGGTGACTGGGGGATGTATTTTATTCATATTATTTATATATTCATACAAGGTGTTATGAATTATGTAAGTAAAGATTTTGGTTATTAATTTATTATGGTAAATTATTGCACATATATATATATATAATGGTAGCATGGAGATTTAAATGGGGCATGTGATACGATGTTCGGGTTATGTGGTCAGGGTTTTTTTTTTGCAGGGATATTCCTGCGCGGGCCCTAAGTCTCTGGCTGGCCCACTAAGTGTTGCTTGTTTCTGTTTTACTTGGGCGGAGTATGAGTATTTATGACTCGTATGGTCGCTTCAGTAAGATTTTGTCCCATGTGTTTAACAACTTCTTCTGTTCTGTTGAATCTAAGTCGAAATCTTAATGGGTTTGTAACTGTGCACTGTGTTAGATAATGTTCCAGTGGTCTGTCTGGCATTTCTCTACAGTGCTGACATGTCCTCTCATCTTCCGGAACCTGTAAGCCTATTTCCCATGCACATTGGTATCCAAGCCTGATGCGATGTAAGTGCACTTCTGTTGCTCTACTGTTCCCTTTCATCAAAATAAGTGGTTCGTAGTTGGTTGAATTCTTGTATCAACCCGCAGATCCTGATGTTGCAACTGCTGTGTTGTGGTCACTGTACATCTTTTGCATTGCTCTATTTCCTATTACTTTCTTAATCTGTGATAGATTCTGTGGTATGTAAATGTCTACATTCCTTCTCTTAGTTGCAAGTTTTGCAGCTTCGTCTGCAATGTCTTTTCCTATTATTCCTACATGACTTGGCACCCAGTTGATAAGTACCCGTCGGCCTTGTCGTTTGATTGTTTGCATTAATGATATGACATTTGTGATCAGATGTATGTTATCACATATGTGTTCTTGTTGCAAGGTTTCAATGGCGGTTCTCGAATCTGTATGTATGATAACATGTTGTCGGTGTTCAGCAAGAGCATGTTCCAAAGCCTTTTGAATGGTTAGCATGTCTGTTTGTAAAGTCGAACACCCACTTGAGAGTCTCCAACTGTTTACAGAGTTTCCTGCTTTAACTGCAGCTCCGGTTTCTTGTCCCTGCTGGTCTACTGATCCATCTGTGAAGTAAGTGAAGCTGTCGGATGCCAAGTTTGCTTCTATATGCATCTGTGTAATATTACGCAGCAGATGAGGATTTGTCTGGCTCTTTTTTCCTTCAACAATAATCTTAAAGTCTGCTGGCGGAGATTCCCAAGGGGCTTGCATAACAAAGTCTACACGTATTTCGTCGACACCCCTCTCAGTGATTGTGTTTGTTATATCGAATGTATTGATGGTGTTTATCACACAATGGGTCCACCTGTCGCTATTGGAGGCTCTTCTGGCCAGAGTTAGTGCTCCAGTGATTATATCTTTAAGAGAACTGTTTCTAGGTCTAGTCAATATCTTGGTCAGTATTCTCACAGCAATCCCTTTTACCCTTATTTCAATCGACGTTAGCTTGATTTTTATTCTTAGGTTCAGTATTTTAGTCCATCAGGGAGCCTCAGTTATGACTCGCATTGCATCATTTTGAATAACCTCAAAGTTTGCCCACTGACCAGGAGAAAGACTGAGTAAGGCAGGCACAGGCAAAATATCGATCTGCTAATCATATGATTAATATGATAATCATTCTTATATATGATTGTTATATCTATTTGGTAGTCACAATTACTGTTACGTTTCCCACTGGTGGGAAGACTGTTAGGCTTATCAAATTATCCCCTAGGCCATCGTTGACTTCCACAAGGTGCAACCTGCAATAATTGTGACTCCCAGGTACCTATTTGCTGCTAGATGCACAGCAGCTAATTATACCATTACCACTGCTACTACTAACAATAACATGCTAATTAGTTACTGCGGCTACTACAGTGGGCTTTGTGGTGGTTACAGAACGAGAGTGAACAGAGAGTGGCCCGGTGCCAGCACATCACAGCTGATCCCACCACCTTCTGCGACCCTGCCCACCTTGAGAACATCACTAACTCTGTAGTCATCACCCAGGACACCCCTCTCACAGGTGGGTGAGCGAGGCATGGTGGCAGGAGTGTGTAGTGGAGTGCCATGAACGGAGAGTGTGTACTAGGCTGGCTAAGGGGAGTGGAGCGCCATGAACAGAGTGTGTACTAGTAGGGTGTTTTACGACGTAGACCGTCCGTGGCATTTTGGGATGCAGCGGTTTCGGCCACGTCGAATGTTGTAATAACATTGGGGGAACGATTTGGACAATATATAGAGGAGAGGCGGGACGTGTTGTCAGATGTACGATAAATATGGGAGAAGTAGTGTTCGAGTGAGGTGTGTATGGTTGTGTGAAAGTTGTGAGAATGTAGTGATTTTTTTTTTGTTGGAAGATGGGAAGTAAGACTGTGATTGGAGGATGGAGGTGTGGGAGGAGACAGAAGTACGAAGTGTTCCCTGTTTGGGGTGAAAGGGTCTTACAGTTTTTAAGCTCCTCCCCCTGACTTTTTGTCAGAGAGAGGGAGACGTTTTTGGGGAGTAGATATGTTTTAGGAGGAGGTGGAGAAGATATATGTAAAGGTTGTGTGTGAATGGAAGAAGTTAAAGCTGTAAGATAAAAGATTTAACAGAACGTAGTGTTTTAGAATAATAGAGATAGCAAACACGTAAAGGATGCATTACCAGTTAAGAAAGATATAGAAGTTCCTTGAAAGAGTCGGGTGCAGATGAGTTAACAGAAGAACGTGTAATATAGTAGGAGAAAGAGTTAAGCCAAATTTTGGGAAACATTTAGCAGTAAAGAAGTAGTTAAACAGAACATAGAACTTGGTTACTTACTAGAAAGAGGACGATGGACGTAGGCTGTGGAGGATCCTGCAGACGTCTTCCCTTGAGTAGTTACAGAGATGCACTAAGGAAGGGTTGGGCAGTATTGGCAATAGGTCCCGCAAGGAATTGCGGTTAGTGCCCACGTGTACCTCACTAGCGTGTGAACACACAGGTGACCGCTTCCTTTGTCAAGAGTCCCGCCGCGGCGCAGACCCATCGCTCGCCCGCCCGGTCGCTCACTTGGGTCAAGCACCTTCACCATTGCCCACACACACAGTCATATATATATATATATATATATATATATATATATATATATATATATATATATATATATATATATATATCGTACCTAGTAGCCAGAACGCACTTCTCAGCCTACTATGCAAGGCCCGATTTGCCTAATAAGCCAAGTTTTCCGGAATTAATATATTTTCTTTAATTTTTTTCTTAGGAAATGATAAAGTTACATATTTCATTATGTATGAAGTCAATTTTTGTTATTGGAGTTAAAATTAACGTAGATATATGACCGAACCTAACCAACCCTACCTAACCTAACCTAACCTCTCTTTATAGGTTAGGTTAGGTTAGGTAGCCGAAAAAGTTAGGTTAGGTTAGGTTAGGTAGGTTAGGTAGTCGAAAAACAATTAGTTCATGAAAACTTGGCTTATTAGGCAAATTGGGCCTTGCATAGTAGGCTGAGAAGTGCATTCTGGCTATTAGGTACGACATATATATATATATATATATATATATATATATATATATATATATATATATATATATATATATATATATATATATATATATATATATATATATATATATATATATATATATAATGTGTGTGTGTGTGTAATAGATAGAAAGTTTAAGCTGTAAGAGGGAAGATTTATCAAGACAATAGCATTGCAGAAAGAGTATGAGGAGTGTCCTTCCCCCGACTACGTATTGTAATACACTAAGGAGAGCTATAATAATCACACCTGGGATATTGCTGTGTGCGCGCGCGTGAGAACATGTGACTGGTTGGATGCTTTGACAGAGAGAGGTGCCGGTTGCGGTGGCACGTGGCTACCGCTCGCGTCCACTTGGGCAAGTAGGCGACCAACCAGCCACACACACACACACACACACACACACACACACACACACACACACACACACACACACACACACACACACACACACACACACACACACGTGTGTGTGAAGATAGATTGGGAGAACAGAGACCCGCATGGAGGACCAGAAACATGGAGAGCTAAGCTGCTGGACGTGGCAACAAGAAACTTTCTAAGCCAGTACATCAAAGAACCAACAGGAATGAGAGGAGAAGATGAACCAGCAATGCTTGATTTGATATTTACCCTAAATGAGTAGGATATACGGGAAGTTAAGATGGAAGCACCCTTGGGAATGAGTGACCACAGTGTATTGAACTTTGAGAACCTGGTAGAGCTAGGGATTATCTCCCCCAAAAAAGAACTAGGAATCAAAAGGCTGGCATACCGAAAGGGGAATTATGAACAGATGAAAAGTTTCCTAAGTGAAATACCTTGGGACACTGACCTCAGAGATAAGTCTGTACAGGGTATGATGGACTATGTTACCCAAAAGTGTCAGGAGGCAGTAAACAGGTTCATCCCGGCCCAAAGGGAAAAATCCGAGAAGCAACAGAAGAATCCATGGTATAATAGGGCATGTATGGAAGCGAAGAAACTGAACAAAAGGGCGTGGAGGAACTTCCGGAATAACAGAACACCAGAAAGCAGAGAGAGATACCAGAGAACCAGGAATGAGTACGTCAGGGTGAGAAGAGAAGCAGAGAAAAGTTTTGAAAGTGATATAGCAAACAAAGCCAAGATCGAACCAAAGCTATTCCACAGTCACATCAGAAGGAAAACAACAGTGAAAGAACAGGCATTGAAACTTAGAACAGGCGAGGACAGGTATACAGAGAATGACAGAGAGGTGTGTGAAAAACTCAACAAGAGGTTCCAGGAGGTCTTCACAATAGAACAAGGTGAGGTCACTGTGCTAGAAGAAAGGGAGGTAAACCAGGCGGCCTTGGAAGAGTTCGAAATTACGAGAGAGGAGGTCAAGAGACACCTGCTGGATCTGGATGTTAGAAAGGCTGTTGGTCCAGACGGGATCTCACCATGGATACTGAAAGTGTGTGCAGAGGCACTTTGCTTGCCACTCTCCATAGTGTATAGTAAGTCACTGGAGACGGGAGACCTACCAGAAATATGGAAGACGGCGAATGTGGTCCCAATATACAAAAAGGGCGACAGGCAAGAGGCACTGAACTACAGGCCAGTGTCCTTGACTTGTATACCATGCAAGGTGATGGAGAAGATCGTGAGAAAAAAACCTGGTAACACATCTGGAGAGAAGGGACTTTGTGACAAATCGCCAACATGGGTTCAGGGAGGGTAAATCTTGCCTTACAGGCTTGATAGAATTCTACGATCAGGTGACAAAGATTAAGCAAGAAAGAGAGTGCTGGGCGGACTGCATTTTCTTGGATTGTCGGAAAGCCTTTGACACAGTACCGCATAAGAGGCTGGTACATAAGCTGGAGAGACAGGCAGGTGTAGCTGGTAAGGTGCTCCAGTGGATAAGGGAGTACCTAAGCAATAGGAAGCAGAGAGTTACGGTGAGGGGTGAGACCTCCGATTGGCGTGAAGTCACCAGTGGAGTCCCACAGGGTTCTGTACTCGGTCCTATCTTGTTTCTGATATATGTAAATGATCTCCCGGAGGGTATCGATTCATTTCTCTCAATGTTTGCGGACGATGCTAAAATTGTGAAAAGGATTAAAACAGAAGAGGACTGTTTAAGGCTTCAAGAAGACCTAGACAAGCTGAAGGAATGATCGAACAAATGGTTGTTAGAGTTTAACCCAACCAAATGTAATGTAATGAAGATAGGTGTAGGGAGCAGGAGGCCAGATACAAGGTATCATCTGGGAGAGGAAATTCTTCAGGAGTCGGAGAAAGAAAAAGACTTGGGGGTTGATATCACGCCAGACCTGTCTCCTACAGCACATATCAAGAGAATAACATCAGCGGCATATGCCAGGCTGGCCAACATACGAACGGCATTCAGAAACTTGTGTAAAGAATCATTCAGAACTTTGTATACCACATATGTCAGGCCAATCCTGGAGTATGCAGCCCCAGCATGGAGTCCATATCTAGTCAAGGATAAGACTAAACTGGAAAAGGTTCAAAGGTTTGCCACCAGTCTAGTACCCGAGCTGAGAGGTATGAGCTACGAGGAGAGACTACGGGAATTAAACCTCACTTCGCTGGAAGACAGAAGAGTTAGGGGGACATGATCACCACATTCAAGATTCTGAAGGGTAGGGTAGATAAAGAGAGGCTATTTAACACAAGGGGCACACGCACAAGGGGACACAGGTGGAAACTGAGTGCCCAAATGAGACACAGAGATATTAGAAAGAACTTTTTTAGTGTCAGAGTGGTTGACAAATGGAATGCGTTAGGCAGTGATGTGGTGGAGGCTGACTCCATACACAGTTTTAAATGTAGATATGATAGAGCCCAATAGGCTCAGGAATCTGTACACCTGTTGATTGACGGTTGAGAGGCGGGACCAAAGAGCCAGAGCTCAACCCCCGCAAACACAACTAGGTGAGTACACACATAAACTATTCAACACGGGTGGAACACGAACAAGGGAACACAGGTGGAAACTGAGTACCCAAATGAGCCACAGGGACGTTAGAAAGAACTTTTTCAGTGCCAGAGTAGTTAACAGATGGAATGCATTAGGCAGTGATGTGGTGGAGGCTGACTCCATACACAGTTTTAAATGTAGAAATGATAGAGCCCAGTAGGCTCAGGAACCTGTACACCTGTTGATTGACGGTTGAGAGGCGGGACCAAAGAGCCAAAGCTTAACCCCCGCAAGTACAACTAGGTGAGTACACACACCGGATGGAGACATCATTCCTCACCGTTGTAACAGGAAGCTGGCATCACCTCATTATAAGAAAAAAGGTGTAAAGTGAACAGAGACGAACATTACCCGAGGCTGATGACATTGGTTGTGTGAATGGAAACAGCCTTAAAGATGAGAGAGGAATGATTTAACAGAACAGTTGTCGGAAAATCCGACACCATTTAATATATCATACAGACAGATAAGAGCTGTGTTGTATAAACAAGTTACCCATAGAAAACGTAACTTGTAGTG